CCAGGGCGTTTCCTACGAGCGGCATTATCCTGCTCGCGGACGTCCTACACAGGCAGTCAGAATACCGGAATCGTACTACCGGTATTTTTCAATATACATGCAGATGTGAGCATATATACACTAGACGCCAAAAGAAACGTTACCATCCTACCTTTATGAATTACTTAAAAACTATCAAAGATATCTTAGAAGGTATTAGTTTACAAGAAAGCTGAAAAACACAGCTTTATGTAAATCACGAATACAAATTCTAAAATGCATTCATATTTAAGTGAAATGCATCTTTTTCAGAAGAGTTAAATTGTCCTATTTTCGTCCATGCCGAAATAATCCAATAACAGTGATTTAGATGTCCAAAAGAAAGGTTGAAATGAAATTCTGCTCTGAGACAAAGACAAACCATTTAAAGTCACCATTTTTCAACTATTAAAACAAGAAACAACTGTTGAAGTGTGTGTACAATTGTAAGATAACCATTCCTGTGATTTCAGTCTTTTAAAACATATTCTGCTGATTTGCATTAGTGAAAAACGAAGTAAAACGTGTCTTTGATATTGTGAAACCATGTTTAGGAACATGTAATATTATTTTTGTTCTCTTTTTTGCTGTCAAAGTAACAATTTTCCATTTTTTGTGTTTAAACATAGAAATACCAATCGTCAAAACGCAGCAATATTCAAGCAGTATTTGCGTCCATTTCACATGTAGACTGATTCTACAGGGTATGAATAGAGCCTAGAATACATGATATGATGCGCAAGTACGAGAAATATGCCACGATTAACAGTTGAAGAGAGAGAAAGAGCCATTGGGATGTTGCAGATGGGATCGACATACAATGCTGTTGCCAACGCCCTCGGATGCCACCGGATCACGGTTATTAGACTTAATCAGGGCTTCAGACAGACGATGGTCACCGTAGACAGACCAAGAATAGGACGTCCACGCATCACAACACCAGCTGAAGATAGGTACCTCCTCCATTAAGGAACGAGGGTAACGTGTCTTTGGCGTTTAGTGTATATATACAGTTTTTGACAACAATGGAAAGGTGACGACTCAACAATGGACAGATAGAAAAACAATAGCACTTCCTTGACCAGTTGATATGATGGCAGACACGGGCAAGGGGGATGACCAACAAGGGCAATAAATGTCATATACAATAATTAATGACAAAGTCAGAGTGGTTAAGGGTGGCTGACAAGACAATGTACACTGTGGTAGTGCTAAGAATTAAGATTGCAGATTGAATAATTACAATTAAGTCTCACATGCTTGGCTACATAGTTTTTGGTCTTTAGAAATATTTTGACGATGTCTGTCCTGAATTACTAACTTTAACAACCTCCCTCTGCTCCGTAAAGCTTGGACCCCAGGCTTTAATAGATGGAGTTCAAACTGATAGGAGTGAAGCTATATAAATACCAAAGGTTCAGATCAGTAAATAATCACTAACGAACAATTGTTGATGTTGTTGAAATCTCGTGCAACAAATATATCTATGCAATGACAGTATAGGAGTGATCATCTTGCCAGTCTTACTTATCGGAAAAATAATCAAATGATCGTTGTAATGTACATTTCACATGGCTTGGCTACATAGTTTTTGTCTTTAGAAATATTTGGACGATGCCTGTCCTGAATTAGTCAGTATAACAGTTTTCTTGTAGGTTACAGAAAGGGGCGAGCGGTGGCGGAAGTTGATACATAAAGAAATATTCTCATCGTCAAAAGTCATTTTCTCATTGGTAATCTCACAAATGATTTTTATATATTTGAACCAGAGTAAGAGTGTGTTCCAATGGTCGAAGAAACGTAACAAGCACTTTTTCGAGAAATATGTTCGAGATCGGGATGCCCCACAATATTCATGCAATAACTGCGGGGGACACCAGAAAAGGGGTTCACACTCAGGCCTCGGGAGAAAATAACAGATGGAGAGCAACAATAATGCTTCAGCCAGGTTCCATAGAAGTAAGGAACTTGAACAGTGGATTACGAAAGTATCCAAGCACTTAATTTGACAAAAGCTTTGATCTAGTTTGGCTTTTTTAGGTAAAAACCCATTACTGAATCACATAATTTTTATCTGCTAAGAGGTATATTTACACTTGTTGATCCAAACGTTGATCATTACTGAAGGATATTGGAAGACATATTTACCACTGAAAAATTCATTTCCAGAAGAAATAATAATGTTGGAAGCTTTTTAGCCAAATGGTTTCCTCTCATTCCAGAATTTAATCCTGAATGACTATTTAACCAAAACATCTTACTGATATTGATATTTAATGTACTGTATCTCATATGAGCCCACACGCTGTTTTGTACAGACATTCCTCTATATGCTTGAATTCATAGAGAACAATTAAAAAAGGTTCCATAGAAACACCATTTGATACTTGTGGCGACGTTTTCAACACATCAATCTTTGCCATACACTTTGTGTGTTTGCTGGATTAGGTGCCTGACTGAGGGTGTGGGTTCAAGTCAACAAAAGTGCTAATATCGGTACTTTGCTGAGAAAGTGTAATTCCAAATATAACATGTGTTACATTTGACCACTTTCTAAATGGCATTGTGAATAGATAATCTATAGACGCCGCCCACAAGTCACACCGATGATCGAGTTCGAACTAAACACCTCTGACACAGGTTGACTATTTTAATAAACATTAATATGCACTCAGTATATAAGTGACAAGTGTTAGTGCTACCAGCTGCAGTTCTGTGACTTTGAGAAGTGTATACTTTTATATTATTCCCAAGTGACTAAAAGGAAGAAATGTGCCCAGACTGCAATGTAACAGTCGTAACCCAATATGTTTACATATCAAGAGTACTATGAACCCTTACAATGAAGAGTTATACAATGACTGCAGAATTCATCGGTGTAATACCGTGAATCTTTAGCTGTATGGTTTTAGAATTTTGAAACTGAATTTTCTATGTAAATACCTAAAAAGTATTGTAATTTTCATTAAAATTGTGTGCAATTTGGTGAATTAGTACAAACATCATTCCTGAGATAAAGAGATGTGTATGTTTCCATTTTCGAGAACGTACGTTGCTTTATTGATCTCGCTTCGCCCCTGTACAATGAGAGTATGTTACGTGGCATCTCCATTCCAACTGCTTCATACGTCATCCTTGGTTGTCTGATCAGCAGTCGTGTATTTGTCTTCAGTTGCCTGTAGTCGGCAGTTGTGTATCCAGTGATCCTCTGTGAACACTTGATCATGAAATCTGTGTGCTCAGGGGTCTTCCGGGAACTGCTCCTGTTCTCGACAGTTGTATTATCAGATGTTGCACAGCCCGTGTCCAGCTTGAAGGAATGCAAAGAACAAAAGGCACAGGAGGAGAGTCCTGTTGTTATCAAGAACATTGGCATCAAGATGTGCCAAGTGAGATGTATTGAAACTGGTGGCTGCTTGAGATTCGAATTCGATATTGAGACTTTAACTTGTCGTCTAAGACTCGGTGATTCGAATGGACTGGAAGAGAAGGAAGGATTCAAAGCTCATCTGAAGACACATTCAGACGTAAGTTGGAGGTATCTGTTAGTATGTATATGTAACCCTATCAAAATACATAGGTGATTGTACGATTTTGTTTGCATTCCAATTAGGGATTTTGTTAAAGCATAATCATTTATTGAATCATATCCTGTGAGCCTTCCACATAATCTGTGAACGTGAGGCAATTACTGGCAATATATGCCGTTAGACGAAAATGAATTTGAAGGCAAATTCATATGGTAATGCTTATGACCAAGTCGAAGCACTACCCATACCAATGAATGGACGTGTATAAGTTCTCGAGCTGTTCCACTATTCACATCGAGTGAGTTGATATTAACAGCTCTTTGGGCGATATTTCATTCTTAAAACAATTATACCCAAATGTGTTGTGGTGACCAACCACCCCACCCCCATATGAGAAATTTTGGATGTGTCTTTGATTCCTTCAAAGTACAAAAATGGAAGATTTTAAACATTGGGCATCGAGAATGTAGTTAGGCCGACTACTTTTTGATTGACCCTCGTATCACCAAGTGAGAGTACAAGAAATGAGCTTCATGCGTTGAACCCTAGTGAATTCGAAATTCATACTTACTGTCGACAGTACATATAAAAGCAAGACATGCTTAAAACTGAATGTTCAGTAGAGAGCTCACAATGAATTCATGGGAGGGGGGATAAATGGCCACGCGCAGTCGTTCAAGGTTTTTCACTTCTGTCTGAAGGTAACCCTTGGTCCCTGCAGTAGCACGTCATGCAGTCTCGGTGATAGATGTTTGGAGAGCCGATATGGAAAGCCTGTCTGTGTGAAAGGTAACTGCCTCCTGGATACTTTCCGATTGGTTACCATATGCTTGTTTTTATTTTAGAGTAGGAGTCTTACCATGTTACAGACTCATGTATAGAAGTTTGGCTAGTGTATATCATGGGTATATGATAGGACTGGGCCAAATTATGATTTATTGTCTCGGGACTGTCTGACTGAGTTTGTTTTTTTACGCCGCTTTTAGCAAAAATCCAGGAACATTACGGCGGGGAACACCAGAAATGGGCTTCACACATTGTACCCATGTGGGGATTCGAACCCGGGTCTTCGGCGTGACGAGCCAACGCTTTAACCACTAGGCTACCCCACCGCCCCTGTTGTCTTGGGAACACATGGTTCTGGTCTAGAATAGGATCTAGAATAGGATTTCACAAGAAATACTCCCGATCCACGAATAGAAGTTTATACATTGTAAAAGGGGTTTAAGATATCCCTTGACGTCAGATTTCTTCACCAATTTTATTAATTATGTTGGGGATTTATTTTTAATTGTTTCGTCATTTCGGTATATATTCAAGCATATCTAAACATATATACTTACTGTTCAGTATCTGTCGGGAAAAATATCTAGCCACAGATTACATAAGAAAAACGATGCTATAAACAAAGCTATGCCCTCCCTTATGTCCTTTCATTAACCTACAGGTGGAATGACGCTTTATCCTTGGAGATCCCAACAACAGAGAAGAGATAAGAAGAGCGGACCCGGAGACAACCTACTTCATGAAGCCTGTAGAGAGGGTGACTTAAGTCGGGTGCGGACAATCATGTCTAAGGGTCAAGTCGACATTGACAGCAGAGAGGGAGAGCACGGGAGGACGCCAGTGATGTTGGCAGCACGAGGGGGACATAGAGGTGTGTTTGAGATTCTAGTCAGAAAAAGATGTAATATGTCCCTTCTTGATAATAACGACAACAACATTCTTCATATGGCCTGCTATGGAGGACAAATTGCGATCGTGAAACGTGTTCTCTCGCTTGACATTGTGGACATCAACAGTAGTGGTTATATTGGGAGCACGTGTGTGATGGTAGCGGCACACCGGGGGAAAATAGATCTCTTAAAATACCTTGTCAATGAGGGAGGCGATGTGTCCCTGATAGATAAAGCCAATGACAACATTCTTCATATAGCCTGTAGAGGAGGAAACGTGGAGATGGTGAAGTATATTATCTCACAGGACATTGTGGACGTAAATAGCAAAGGACGTGGCGCTAGAACAGTCGGGATGGTCGCAGCACATTTGGGATACACAAACATATTTGACTTATGTGCATGTGCAGGTTGTAATTTGTCGGCAGTTGATGCTCAAGGCAACAACGTTCTTCACGTGGCCATTCTTGGAGGACATATTAGGATGGTGAAGCATGTACTCGCACAGAGACTTGTGAATATCAATAGCAGAGGAATGAATGGGAAGACACCATTAATGTTTGCAGCATTCGAGGGACATACAGAGGTGATTGACTTAATACTGAGTGAAGGAGGTGATGCTTCACTTGTTGACAAGAATGATGACAACATCCTACATTGGGTGTGTCGTGGAGGACACGTAGAGATGGTGAAGTATGTCATCTCACTGAACTTTGTCGATATCAACAGCAGAGGAGAGTACGGAAGGACACCATTGATGGTAGCAGCAGCTAAAGGACATAGAAAGGTGTTTGACTTAGTAATGAGTAAAGGAGGTAATGCTTCACTTGTGGACAAGAATGGTGACAACATCCTTCATGGTGTGTGTTATGGAGGACACGTAGAGATGGTGAAGTATGTCATCTCACAGGACTTTACCGACATCAACAGCAGAGGACAGTACGGACGGACACCAATGATGGCTGCAGCAACTAATGGACACAGAGAGGTGTTTGACTTAATACTGAGTAAAGGAGGTGATGCTTCACTTGTGGACAAGAATGGTGACAACATCCTTCATGGTGTGTGTTATGGAGGACACGTAGAGATGGTGAAGTATGTCATCTCACAGAACTTTACCGACATCAACAGCAGAGGACAGTACGGACGGACACCAATGATGGCTGCGGCAAATAATGGACACAGAGAGGTGTTTGACTTAATACTGAGTAAAGGAGGTGATGCTTCACTTGTGGACAATAATGGTTACAACATCCTTCATTGTGCGTGTCTTGGAGAACACGTAGAGATGGTGAAGTATGTCATCTCACTGAACTTTGTCGATATCAACAGCAGAGGAGAGTACGGAAGGACACCGATGATGGTTGCAGCAGATAAGGGACACAGACAGGTGTTTGACTTAATACTGAGTAAAGGAGGCGATGCTTCACTTGTGGACAAGAGTGGTGACAACATCCTTCATTGTGTGTGTCGTAGAGGACACGTAGAGATGGTGAAGTATGTAATCTCACTTAACTTTGTCGATATCAACAGCAGAGGATATAACGGACGGACACCAATGATGGTTGCAGCAGTTAAGGGACAAAGAGAGGTGTTTGACATGGTAATGAGTAAAGGAGGTGATGCTTCAATTGTGGACAAGAGTGGTGACAACATCTTACATTGGGTGTGTCGTGAAGGACACGTAGAGATGGTGAAGTATGTCATCTCACTGAACTCTGTCGACATCAACAGCAGAGGAGCTTACGGACGGACACCAATGTTTCCTGCAGCAGCTAATGGACACAGAGAGGTGTTTGACATAATACTGAGTAAAGGAGGTGATGCTTCACTTGTGGCCAAGAGTGGTGAGAACATCCTTCATTGTGTGTGTCGTGGAGGACACGTAGAGATGGTGAAGTATGTCATCTCACTGAACTTTGTCGATATCAACAGCAGAAGATATAACGGATGGACACCAATGATGGTTGCAGCAGTTAAGGGACACATAGAGGTGTTCGACTTGGTAATGAGTAAAGGAGGTGATGCTTCACTTGTGGACAAGGATGGTCAAAACATCCTACATCTCGCCAGTTGGCAAGGACATGTGATGATGGTGAAGCATATTCTTTCTAAAACTATTGTTGATCTTAATGCTAAAGATAAGTTTGGAGCTACAGCGGCAATGATTGTAAACAGAACAAAACACAAGGCAATGTATGACCTCCTCAAATTGTTAGGCTAATTGGGGCATTAACTGCCATATGTCATTTAAACACGTTGCAAAGTGATATTCTAATACTGATAAACAAATATCTTCCTCAGATGATTTGTTTTGTCTCAAAAATTAAAACATCCTCTTTTGTAATAAATGGATTCCAGTAAATGCCGTCAGTATTTACATAACTATGCAAACAAAGACTCATGCACTAGTCACTATCACTCAGCACTCTCATTTTCTATGCAAGCGGCATGATGAAAAGGCAAGTACACTATCCCCACAGTTTGTCTCCAGTCTCCTAAACCATAAAGAACTAACAATGTTGGATATCTCTCGCATCATTTTTGAAGCAGACATCCATGCACCACACTTGCCAAATACATCATGCTGCATCTGACAACATATCACAAACAGCAAACGATAGGGCGACGGAGGATCCTATTCTCATGGAGATGCACACCTCGTTTCAAACCCAAGAAACCACCATTCCCGCCAGATTCCCCGTCCCCTCAACACACCCACACAATCTTTGCCTTTTTTTTCTTCTTCACCGTTATTACCGCAGTCTACTCGGCTAGCAAAACCTCCGAAAATTCCTTATTCAAACATCCAACTGCAAAATAAAGGGCCTACCCTGGAAGCATTTAATGTTCCCAAATCCATAAGACATATATACTGAGTCAAAAAAGAAACTTCACAAAATGTAATTTGAAAAATAATGTATTTTTTCTCTGCTGATACATCTATGTATCCGAAATGGGATCCCTATCTTTCGACTCTAGAAAAGCGTTAGCAAAACCCACTCAAACCCATCCATTCGTCGTGCAAATGACGTCAGTGCCAAATCAGATTTTGCACGTGCAGTCGATCACGTGATCTTCGCTTCGAAGTTTTCTTCATATGCACGTGTTTGCATTGGCCTCAAGAATTGAAAAAACACTTTTAAACCACGGTTCCAACGGTTCTTGAAATGCCACGATTGTCAAATGTGCAACGTGAACGTACCGTTGGCATGTTGCAAGCGGGAAGATCAGTTATTGACGTCGCAAGAGTAATGGGATGCAGCCGTCGTACTGTGTTTGACTTGCGAGGTCGTCTACAACAAACTGGCACCACTTCTGATCGCCCAAGGTCGGGCCGTCCACGTGTGACGTCACGAGCAGAAGACCGTCAAATCGTCCTACGTCACCTACGTGACAGATTTCTGCCGGCTACACGAAACAGGGCTGAGATGTTTAGAGGTCGACTGTCCTCACAGACCATTTGAAATCGGCTGCGGGCTGCCAATCTCCATTCTCGACGTCCATATCGTGGGCCAATATTGACGCCGTTTCATCAACGTCAACGTCTGCTGTGGGCCCACCGTCACCTCCGATGGACCCAGAGAGACTGGAATCGAGTCGTCTTTAGCGATGAATCCAGGTTTACCCTCAGATTCGTGGACGGCAGGCATAGAGTCTGGAGACGACGTCGTGAACGGTATGCCCAATATTGTGTACAGGAAGTCGACAGATTCGGGGGCGGAAGTTGCATGGTGTGGGGTGCTTTCTGTGGGAACAACCGTTCCCGACTGCTGGTCATCCGTGGAAACCTCACAGCTGCTGCTTACCGCGACCAGGTGCTCACCCCTGAACTCGTTCCTTTCATGGCGGCTCATGGCCCAGGTCTACAGTTCCAGCATGATAATGCTCGGCCGCATACCGCGATGTTGACACGAAATTTCCTTCAAAACGCTGGAATCAACGTCATGGACTGGCCACCGAGGTCCCCTGACCTTAATCCAATAGACCACGTTTGGGATGCACTTGGGAGAAGGCTTCGTGGTCTTAGGAACCAACCTCAGAATTTGCAGGAACTTGGCGCTGCCTTGCAAGAGCAATGGCGCAGAATCCCCAACCACGTGTTCACAAGCATCAGGCAGTCGATGAGGAGACGGTGTTTGGCAGTGCTGAATGCGCGGGGCGGCCATACACGTTATTGAACTGAGAAATTTCGCATTTTTATTCTTGTGACTTGACATTCTGTATACCCATGTTTTGGAACGGCGGTGTAGCCTAATGGAACTGATTATGGCACTGTCAGTGTATCGAGTACATCACACAGATCTCAGCAATGAAATAATAACAATTTAACCATCTTACCATCTCTTGTTCTTTTATAGTGCCCTGAAGAAAGAATGTGAAGTTTCTTTTTTGACTCAGTATATATAAGAAGTCAACGTCTCATGTGATACACCGAACTGGCTAAGGTACACACGAGGCGCAATTCGCGTAAGAACGCGCGAATCGCACCATTCCTACGAGCATTTTTCCAAGGTGGCAAACGCGGATCGCGACCTATATTTTTCCTACCTCAAATCGTTAGTACCAAACGAATCACATCAAGACAAAACGGAAAGTCCCATCCAACATAAAATGTAATCATAATATTTGAAAAACAAAAGCCACACACCCCAATCTCGTAGATACCATGGTGTATGGCACTTCCAATTACCTAGTAGTAAAACCATTAATTAAACCTGTTGCCAAATGTCTGAAATATCACCGCACAGCAACATCCCATATTTGACTTGCAAACAACTGTCCACACACAACAAATATGCATATAAATATTGACACAGCCAATATCCAAACACACCCCACACACACCCCTCAAAAACAAACCACATCACATGTCCACACGACAAAATCGGTTTCGGAGATTCCTTCCGATAATGCTCCCACGTGGACTTCCCCCAAGCCTCAACATCCAGAAGATCTCTGGCCACAAAATTCTTCAGCACCACCAACACGGCAACCTCAACACCAACACGCAAAACAGCCCCAAACAACCTAAACTTAGCCAAACTTTCACAGAACACCAAACAGAGCCCCAGGAGCTTGAAACATTCTGGATTTCACTTCAACGTCATGCATTTTAAGAACTGTGTTCTGAAAATATACCAGGCGTCAATAATAAAGGGTCAAATGATATATGGCACATGAGAGGAAATAATAGAACTAGGAGTGTCATCATAATGTTTAATGTGTTGACAAACGTGAGACATTGTGACATACAGAGGAAATTTCAAACAGCACTAGGAAACATCAGTTTTGACCGACTCGCATGGAACATCATATTTACAGTTCTCGCAAACACCTGGTGTTATCCGTACATTTCAGTAACACTTCCTTATTTTGACTTTTCACCAAATGGAATCTATTTTGTCTGGAGGTAAATACATGTTATGCATAAACACGCACGCACGGCATCATCGACCGCGAGCTATCCAAACTCAACATTGACATCGCCGCCCTCCAGGAAACACGTCTCTCTTCCAGTGGCAGTCTCAAGGAGAAGGGCTACACGATCTTCTGGCAAGCACTGGAGCCAGAGGAGCACCGACTTCACGGGGTCTGCTCCTACCATCAGTAGAGCCTCATTCTCAAGGGACCGCATGCATCCTCTCACTCCGCCTCACGACCTCCTCGGGACCCACAAACATCTTTAGCATCTACGCCCCTACACTCTACTCCAAAGCTGAGGCCAAAGACGCGTTCTACAACGAGCTGAGGCCAGGGTCAGGGAGATTCCACAAAAAGAAGACCTGATCCTGCTCGGAGACTTCAATGCCCAGGTGGGCGCAGACTACACGCTGCATTGGTCACTTTGGCGTTGGCAGGCTCAACGAGAACGGACAGTGGCTACTTGAGCTCTGCTCCTACCATAACCTGTGTATCACCAACACCTCCTTTCCCACCAAGCCCCACCACAGAGTGTCTTGGAGGCACCCCAGATCCAAACACTGGCACCAACTGGACTTCGTCATCACCAGGAGATCCATGCTCAACCACGTGCTTGTCACTCGCACTTACCATAGTGCCGACTGTGACACAGATCACTCCCTGGTCAGCAGCAAGGTGCACCTCCGCCCCAGACGAATCCATCGCTCCAAGCAAAAAGGGCCGCCCTCGCATCGACACTGCAAGAACACTGATGCCAGAACTGCGTGAGTGCTTTGCTCAAGCCATCAATGAGGCACTGGAGGACTGCCCTACAGAGAGTGCTACGGCGCGATTGGAGTTCATCCGCGACACCATGTACAAGACTGCCTCCGGAAGAATGCAAGGAAGAGCGAGGACTGTCCCGAGGCTGGGATCGAGGAGATGGAGCCTGCCATCACCGCCAAGAGTGCCGCGCACCTCGAGTACTAAAGACAGCCCTCCGAGTCAACACTAGCTGCCTTTAGGGAAGCCCACAACAACGCCAAGAGGATCGCCCGCAAGTGCGCTAATGACTACTGGCTGAAGCTATTCAGCGACATCCAGTTCTCTGCGGACTGTGCAAACATCCGTACCATGTACGAGGGTATGAAGGGATCATTTGGTCCCTGCACCATCAAGACCTCTCTCCTTAAATCCACATCTGGTGACATCATCACGGACCGTGGCAAGCGATTGTAACAACTATCGCGGGATCTCCCTCCTCAGCATCACGGGGAAAGCTTTCGCCCGAGTCATCCTCAACCACCTCCAGCTGCTAGGCGACCAAGTGTACCCTGAGTTACAATGTGGATTTCGAGCGAAACGGTCAACGATCGACATGGTGTTCTCCCTCAGGCAGCAACAGGAGAAATGCCATGAACAGAGATGCCATGAACAGAGATGCCATGAACAGAGATGACCCTTGTTCCTCGCCTTCATCGATCTGACCAAGGCATTCGACCTAGTCAGTCGAACAGGCCTCTTCACCCTCCTACACAAGATTGGATGTCCCCACAAGCTCCTGAAGATGATCACATCCTTCCATGATGACATGGGAGGCACAGTCCAGTATGACGGATCATCCTCGGATCCCTTCCCAATCTAGAGTGGAGTGAAACAAGGGTGTGTCCTGGCCCCGACACTCTTTGGCGTGTTCTTCTCCCTACTCTTGCGTTATGCCTTCCGCGAGTCTGAAGATGGCATCTTCCTCCACACGAGGAGTGACGGAAACCTTGTAAACCTCTCCCGCCTCAGAGCAAAGACAAAGGTTCGCAGGGTCCT